CCCTACATTTCTTATTTTTTAGGCAGCACCAACATTTCTCTGGTGACTTTGCCTCCTTCAGACTATGGTCCTTCTCTTGCAGTCACCTCCAAACCCCAGCTAAACAGCAGAGAAACTTTCAGCAAGTCCTTCTGCTTCCTTTCCAGAGCATCTGGCAGAGGCTTACCTGGTCCAGCTCACCTCCTGGTCCTGGGGAGCCAGCTCAGCTCCCTCCTGCTCCTCCTCACTCTCCTTTATCTGTCATCATTCCTCTGCACTGCCCTGGTGCCGTGCTGTCCCACCGCCGAGCTGGGAGGTCTCTGCTCCCACAGCCCAAGCCTGTGCTGGGAAGGTCGCTCTCTGCCCTGCGTCTCCCAGGGACCACAGACTAACCAGGCACAGCTCAGACGAGGCAAGGAGCCTGCTCCCCTGCTCATTACCCCGAGCTGCAAGCACCAACTTGCAAAATCTCCCTGGCGCATGTGACTTTTCCCCTCAGCTGGTTTCGGAATTGTGGTTTTAACCCTGTAGAGTTCCTCAAAAGCACTTCCCCACCGAAGGCACAGCCATGGGAGTAGATCCCACTGCAGGAGTTATCCTCACCTGTTGCAGAGTGGGGTCCAGAGCTGGAGCTGGACCCTAAAGGCCATGCAGGGCTGAAGAGCGGCACAGGCAGAAGGCTGTTCCTCCTCCTCCTCGATCAGCCAGGCAGGACTCACGAAGCACAAATCCCAAGGTTTGCATCAGATCAGTGGTTGTGCATACATTAGTAAAAGCCAAGCACCAACAATAGGGCTGGAAAAATCAGGAGCAGTGAACGAAGATCCCAAGGCTGAGAACCGGTCACTGTATATTTAGCAAAAGGTCACATTCAAGCACAGAGAAACAGGGATAACGTGCGGGGGAACCGTAACCCTCCTCAAAACAGGAGGCTGTGCTGATAAGGAGGGGGGGAGCCAGTTTCCTCTCCCGCTGCTGTGCTCCAGAGAAAAGCAGGAGGCTCGGACACGCGGTCAGACAGACCCTCCAGGACAGCTTTACCTGCTGGGGAAGTCATTCGCTTTCACACGAACAAATAACGCTGAGACACACACAGGAGAGAAGACTCCTTTGCCTGGGAATGGTGGTTTCATGGCTCAGCAAAGGCTAGAGGATCCCCGGAGGCTGGGAACGGGGTGAATCAAACGTCTTGGTGACTGTTAGTCTTAGTGAATGGTTTTTTAAAGAAAAAAAAAAAAAAGTAGCTTTATTGCAGTGCCTGTGTACACTTCCTGGAGAAAACGCCGTCCTCCTCTTGGAGGGGTGAATTTCTGCAGCCCTGCTTGCTCCCGGCATTGCTGAGCAATGTGTTCATTACATCACGTGGCTGCACAGGGAACAGACCTGCCTCCAAAGCTGCTTACCCACACTGGAAACTGCCAACTCGGAGTCCCATCACCCAGGTGTTGAGAAAAACCAGATAAACCTTCTCGCCGTTGTCACTAGCTCAAGGCCCAGCTCAAAACCCCACCCAAGACAGGGCCATGCAAAGCTTTAGGTGCTTTTGCAAACCCTCCTCATCAAAAGCTTTGGCTTTGTTTCCTCCTCTTTCTGCCCACACAAGGATCCTGATGGAGGGAG